TTTTTTTTTTTTGCATCTTTGCAATGCAGAAAACACATATTGACAAGGGGTTGCCTGTGTGTGTGCGGGTATGTGTTTATAGGTAGGTGGGTGTGCATAAGTGTGAGTGTGTGGGTGGGCGTGTATAGGTGTGAGTGGGTGAGTGTGTGTGGGTGTACGCGTGGGTGAGTGTGTGTGGGTGTATGTGTGGGTGAGTGGGTGTATGTGTGTGTATATGGGTGTTTGTGTGGGTTGTGTGCATGGGTGTGTATGTATAGGTGTCTGTGTGGGTGGGTGGTTGTGTGTGTGTGTGTATATGGGTGTGTATGTGGATGTGTCTGTTCAGGTATGTGTGTACATGTGGGTGGGTGTGTGTGTGAATGAGTGGGTGTGCATATGGGTGCGTGCATGTGTATTTATATATGTATGTGTGTATGCCTGTACTAAGTTTTCATTTCGAGACCTACTACTTTGGCAACCTAATCTACATGCATGTATGGGCCTTTATCCATAAAATGGACGCTCATGCTTACGTGGTACTCTCACGTACGGGTCGGTAGAAATTCTTGGCGGGCAAGTTGCTACCTCTGAAATCGGAAAAGCTAGAAAGCTGAAATTTTAAGGGGGTGTTTCCGGATAGTCCTGGCGGCCATTCTCAATTCTTTTAGCTAGAAGCATCGGCCGGAAAAAACAGTGCCGTTAGTGACAAAAATCTGCGAGGAACTGTGCAAAAAACACATCTTCATAGCAGCATTCGGTGCGCTGACCAGTTAATCCTGTATTGCTGAATTAGCTATTAGGAAGATGAATAAATTGGCAAAAAATGATGGATTTTTTTTTTCAGATATGTTGGCAATCTCGATGCAAGCATAACGGAGGATTTCATTGCAACGCTATTTGGGCAAATTGGCGCTGTTACAAAAACGAAAGTCATCTTTGATGTATGTTTTTTTTTTGTTCAAATTTTAGCCATACAATTTTGTGATTTTTGTGAATTTTCTCATTCAGCTTATTTACTTATTCTGTAT